AGATTTTTATATAAATCTATAACCGTACCGATAATTAGGGTAGGTTTTTTATTTTATGAAAATAAACCGAAAAAATACCAAACCGTACCGAATAAATTTACAATGTGAACAATATATTTATATATTAAGTTTAAAAATAATAAAGCATTAAATTTTTTCTTGGGCCTTGGAATTAAGAAACAGTTACAAGCCAACAAGTAATTAAACTCAAAATCTTAATTCCCAAACCTATTATGCTACTCATATTGATACTAAGTTATTTTCAGCATGTTCACTAGCAAGGCACAAGGTATTATAGCGATTATGAATAGCAAACTACAATATATTGAATATATTTCCTTTCATATGATTTTGATTTATCTTTTTGAATATTTAATCTTCTATAGACTTTATTTTTGAATCTCAACTTAGTTAATATTTTTCCACTCATGCGATTTATATTATTTTTATATTTGCTTAGTTTTTTTACGTTGATGTAGAATAGTTGATGGATCTATGCTGGTCATTTTTCATATTTTCTTAATTTATCACCTTTTAAACTGTAAAAATATCTAGAGAGTTTTGCTAAGTCATATAAAAGTACGTATGTTATTGCATTCTACTTCTACTAGTGACTTTTACACGATATTAAAAAAATTACCGAAAATTTACCGAACTGTACCGATACCGAAGAGAAACCGACATGATTGGGACGGTTTCGAAAAGTCTAATTTTGGTTATATAACAAAATAACCGAAATTGGTATGGTACAAATTTTATAAAATAACTGGCCGAACCGAACCATTGACACCCCTAATTATCGCAAACTATAGTCGTGAACATAAATAAATTTGGTACAAAATTATCATTTTTATAATGAACGATATGATACAATATCAGAATCAGATGACTGAGAAGACGAAGCAACATTATTAAAAAATAATAAATGATGGACTCTTTTATAAAATACAAAAGTTTGGGGCAATTTTTAAAAGGGATTTTTTCATTCCTATACACTATTTGAAACTTTATTACCCTTAATGTCCATATTTAATTAATTACCCGACATAAACAAATTTTATTTACGAAATATATATAATTCACCTTAAAAGTCTCTCTATCCATTATTTGAGCCTTCAAATACAATACAGCAGCAAGTTACAGAGTTTGAAGCTGTAATTTCGATGCTTGATAAGTGCGTTTCTTTGCTGGAATCCAAAGTGCAGTCTGCGTACCAAATTCCTCCATATGAATCAACTGTAATTCTTCTTTTTGTTTCTACTGCTACGCCCTCAAAGCCGTTGCTGGATTGAATCGAACTTGATTTTTGTATGTCATCAAGAAATTCTATACAAATAAAAAGATGAATTTAGCAACTGTTTATCTCAAATAGAAAGGAGACTATTGAGTATACAGCTACTAACAAAAGCCCGGTAAGAAGTCTTTGGAAGAACTTCTGTTGGAAGAGGAAAAAAATAAAATCAAGGGATATAGTTACGCCCTTTTCCTTTTTTTTCTCTCTTTTTTCCCTTTTCTCTCCTGATCTTCCACCCACACTCCAAATCTTCATAGAGTTAAAAACTAAGTTAAGTATCTTCGTTTGTTGTTTTCCAATGTTAATTTTTTAATATTCTTTTTTGTCCAATAATATTAGATACAGAGTGATTGTCCTATTTCGTGCGGGAGAAGGTGTTTTCGTCTGGGCCCGACCTTATTTGGTATAAATACATGTAAAAATACTATTTTGAGGAGGTTGGACATACTTTTGACACAGATTGGACCTAAGGAGGAAGAGACACAATAAGAGCAAGGCGGAGAATTCTTCTACAAGTGTTTCCTTCCTCTTCCTATTTTTCATTGTTTATTATGACTTTTAGTATTGTAGCTTTACATACTATTATGAATAACTAATTTGTTATCTAGGGTTTTGATAGAACTTTTTGTAGGATAAATTCTTGTTATATTTTTATATAATTGAACCGTAGTATTTTCTCTATTTGTTCAACTATATTATTCTTGTGGTTGATTGAAGGGCCCTCAATTAGCTGTGCCTATTTAGTATGTATTACTCGGGAGAGAGTGCATATTTAGGTGGTTGTTGAACAACATCACTCTCGACGTATGTGAGGAATCAATAACCAAGAGTTTAAAGGTGGGATTAGGGATAACGAAACCTTGGGTGCGATCTAAGTGAACTGTAATTAAAGTCAGCTAGCGTAACTCGGGAGAGTATGTCTAGTAAATTATCGTAATTACTCAGGAGAGAATTACAACACGCAGAGCACTCATGATCGGTAGAGAATACTTAGGCGAAATTATAGAAGACATAGCAGGAAGGATTCCGATAATTGGGGAGATCGTAACTCTAGGCCTCCTTAATCTTTTCTCCAATCCGTAGTATCTTTAGTTGTTAATCTACTAATTTAATTATTTAGTTAATTAGATATAAGAATCTTAATACTTATAACTTAGGAATTGTTCGGGCTTGTCTTCTTAGCAATATTGAACAGTTGTAGTTAAGCCTTAGTTCTCTGTGGAATTCGATTCTGGACTTGTAAAACGGATTATATTTACAACGACCGCTTAATCCTTTTTATAAGGCATAGTTGGGCGTGATCACCTTTACAAACAGGAGATTCTCGTTTATAAGTTCCTGGGAGCACCTTTACTCAACAACACTTGTAATCTGGTCATACAATTAAAGATCATCAGTTCTTTCCAAAGTTAAAATAGTAAATAGATAAATCTTAGAGTATAGTAATTTATCAAAATCTCGATAATTTTTGAGAATCCATATATGGCTAATGGCATGGCTGTAAGATACCATCTACATGCTAAGAACAAAAGGTGAATTATAAATTTGAAAAATCAGAAGAAGTAGAATCTCAGAAAGCACAATCCATCTTATCAAGTCTGTCGGCATCTCAATAACATAATTTTGTGTATCTGAAAAATATAATGTGGGATAGTATATTTATTAGCATGCACTTAAGTCTTAAATACAATTTTATACAAATTTTATATAATATATCATACAACTAATTATATAGTATACAACTTATGTATAACTTATTTATAACTTTCACACATTATTTCTACCCAGTTAAATACAACTACAATAACATACAACTTAAATACAAAATTTATACAATATGTCTTTTGTATATTTTGTATCTGATTTATACATAGTAAAAAATTTTTTTATACAACTAATTATATATTATTGCAACTTATCTACAATTTTCTTACATTATTTCTACTCAATTATATACAACTACAATATCATACAATTTTTCTACAATTTTACTACAAATTCGTAAATATTATATATATCATGTCTTCTTTTTCTTCTTTTTCGAGTTTCAATCTGAAATTCAGCCAAAATCAAGTCTAATCTTTATCAAAACACTCTCAAAATTGAGATATAAACTCCAAACCATATTCCCAATTGTTTGCAATAACACTCAATCCAAACAAATAATGGTTTTTGAAAATCCAAATTCGAATTCAAAGTTTCAAAGCTTTTTAATGGTTGTCAATGGTGAAATTGCTGCTCTCTTTTCCTTTGCTTTACATTACTGAAATTAGGAATTGAGAGATAGAGAGAGACGTAGAGAGAATTCTCAATTCTTTGCAACAACACCCAATTCAAACAAATAATTTTTTTGAAAAGCCAAATTCGAATTCAAAACTTCAAAGCTTTTTAGTGGTTGTCAATGGTGGAATTGCTGCTATCTTGTGCAAGATACGTGGGGGATGGGTGGAATGTGGAGAGAGAAATGTGGGGGAGTGGAAGATACGTTAGAGTGATTTTAGGACACTAATTATTATCATTAATTCTCTTAAAATGTACATAAATGGTAATTGGCTATATAAAATGTAATTATAGTAAAACTTGAGTAGGAAGGGTAATATAGTTTCATATAGTGTATGCGAATGTAAAAATCTCTTTTTAAAAAATGTAATAGTGATATTTTGGCCCAAAACCAACTATTGAGCTGATTTTGAGATTTGAGATTTTGCCAAAATATAGGCAAAATCTATGGCCAAACATATGTTTGCCAAATAAAATCGAAATTTATTTTGGTAAAATCTATGGCTAAACGGATCCTTAAATTTGAAGTGAGTTTCCACATATTGTTTGGGTGCAAACATCAAAATCGCCAAATAAATGCACGAATTAATACACTATGGGCGACATCAGAAATTTAAATAAAAATATTCAAAAAAAGAAGTTCGAGTATATGTCACGTATGGAATTTATGTTTGCAATATAAAAAAACTTTTTAATTCTTTTTACTACTTCACTAGACATTTTCATTATTTCTAGGAGATTTAACAATTAATATACAATTGTGAGCATGTGATTTTTGCGCTATACGAAATATTCCTATAAAATCCCAAGAAAATAGGTTTTCTATTAATTATTTGCCATTTTTAGAAATTTTCCTAATTATTCGCATTTCTGTGCATGTTTAATTTTTATTTAAATCATAAAAAATACTAAAAATATCATGCATTGCATTTATGATTTATTTTTACATTTTTTAGAATTAATGTAATTATTTATTTTATAGAAATTTGAAAATCACAAAAATAGCTCATTTTTATATTTTTTGTCTTTTAATTTTTAGTTTATTGATTTTTTCTCTTTTAATTTAGAACTAAGTGATGTTTATAATTTTTATAATTAGCTAATAAGTTTAATCTCACGTTTTAGATAATTTAGGATTTTTAATTATTAGGATTTTTAATTAAAAAAAAAAGAAAGAAAAAGAAAAGGAAAAAGGAAATAAGAAGAAGGGGTTTTAATCTAAAATTGGGCTGTTTTAATACCCCAATTCGGCCCAAAATTTCCCCCCTCAAAACCAACTGACCCAAGCCTATTCCCTTTCGTACCCGGTCCAGCCCCAGCTCCAAAAACGACGTCTTGTTACCCCTTTTTGATCCCAGTCGTCGATCACTTTAGATCTAACGGCTGGGAACTGATCTCCTTCTCCCTATATGACCGTCCGAACCCTGTCAAATCCTAGAGAACCTCCCCCCCCCCTTCACTTTCGTCCCATCCCTAACCCTAATCTAGCCGCCCCTAAATTCTCTCAACTCATTAGCTGGCGGCGGCTATCATAATCCCTCCAAATACCCAAATCGATATCCCATACTCCTCAATCTCCCCTCGTCATCAATCTATTACCATATTCCCCAAATTCCCATTGAATGCTCTCAGAACCGGATCTAGAAAACAGAAAGATCGAGTTCTTTCTTCTTTGACTGCTCGTTGAGTTTCAAGGCTTGTGTTGACTCAAAATTTATGCTAGTCAGTTGTTCTTGGCACGAACAACCGATTAGCGTTAATTCCGGGTCATTTCAGAGGGATTTGAACCCCATTGTTTGGCCCAGTGCTTATCAAAGATATTCCTCTTTGTTTTTAGGTAATAACCCGCTTCCTTTTTGTTCTTCTCTTCTCTAATTTCTATGTTTCAGCATATCTAGGGTTAAAAGTTTTTGCTTCGCATGGTTTAGCGAGAATTTTAATTATCTGATTTTTGTTAAAAAAATGATTAGAATTATTACTTTGCCTCTTTACTGTTTTTTCTTTCTTCTTTATTTTTATTTCAGCTAGATTAGAACCTAAATCTCTTTTAAGAATGACTTTTTGCTTGCATGTTTTAATTAGGTTAGCCAATTTCTGAGTGAGTGTCAAATACAGGCTGTTTGTGGCATTCCATTTTAGTTTTAAGTATAATCATTTAGATTCCGGCTTTTGCTAATGACAGAAAACTTTAAAAGAAATAATTGGAAGCCACAATAAGGGTTTTAAATCTGGAATTGGCTAGAAGTTTCTAGAAGATGAGGGTGGGGACTGAAATGCAAATTGCATTAGGAAATTAGTTCCGTTTAGGGTTAAAAAAGGGATAATTTTAGAATTGTAAAGGACTAAAAAATAAGGGGAAAACCTGCATAGACAGCTGTCTCAACAGCTGTCCATTTTCTGGTATAGAATAGTACTTTATCCCTACATTTGAAAGGGAGGGGCTGGCAGAATTCCCCTAGAAAAGATTCCTTTATACCCCTCTAACTCTTATCTTTTCATGCTCATATACCCTATAAAAGGAGACCTCACTCTCACTGAAATAGGATTCATTCAGCATACTGACCCAAAAATTCTCTGAATACACCGAAAATATTCTCTAAATGAACACTCATTTTGAGGTTGAGTTTCAACTCACAAAAACTTCCTGCATTTACTGAAAAGGTTTAAAAGTTCTGATTTCTCTTTTAAAAAGAAAACTTGGGTTCATCTAAGTTGGATCTTGAACTGGTATTGGTTTTCTGGAGCTGAAGTTTTCCTCATTCTTGCTGTTAAACTGCATGTTGATTGCTTCTCTTTCTGGGGTCCTATTGGGTTTTCTTCTTGGCCCTTAAACCTATACTTAGTCTCAGCTTTTATTTCCAGCATTAGGTATATTGATATCTCATCTGTAGCCCCCATTTTGAAATACATGAATGAAAAATGTGAATTGGTGTCTTGTTGAACTATATGTCTTTACAAAGTTTTTCTTTCCTCTTTGAAACTGTCTCTGAAAGTTATACCGTGTGTTTCTGATAAATGGTCCCCATGTGTTTATGCTTGTCCACCATGTTATAGAGTTTAGCCTCTTTAGTTGCTGAATATTTTTAAAGGCTATATGGGTTGATCTGTATGCCATCATGTTTAGCTTTCAAGGATTGTTCCATGCCAGGGTCTTTGCTATTTCTATTCTAGTTATACTTAGCTTTCCATCACGAGTTATGGTAAATCCGATTCCTTAGCATTGTTGTTGCCAACTGTCTTCTTTTTATTCTTTTGAATATGTGATGCTAATAAACTACTCTTCACAATTTTTTTTTTATTTTCTTGATTTGTATGTGGAGTTGTAACAAGAAAGAGGAAATTGGAAACCTATTGATTCGGAATAAAAGGTGTTGATTTGCAGAGCAGCTCTATGGCTGACCTTGTAATTCAAAGGCCCTTTTGAAAGCTGGTGGCAAGTGAAAGAGCCCAAAATCATATGGAGTATTCAATGGATAACAAAATTTTCTCTTAAAAAAAAGAAAGGGAAAGGCATGTAGTCATACATTTGAATGTATTGTTAATCCATGGACTGTTCCTAATGAACTGATTTCCTGCATAGAATTGATATAAAATATATTGTAATATTTCTCTTTTTGATTGATTGCTTTGGTTAATAACTGCATTCCACAGTATTTTAGCAAAAACCATCTCAATGGCCCTTTGTTATAAATGGAGCCCGTTGTATCAGAATTGCCTGAATAAAGGCTAATATGAAATGGGCCAGACTTGTGACTTGGCCCAATCTGGGAATTACCTGACAAGTCTGGACCTAGGCAGCTTGGGCTTGGGTACTAAGCCCAATAGCTTGACCCCAACTGTGGGTTTGCTTCTCTAAACTTCAACATAAACTCCCAATTTTCTTTTGTGTGTTGAAAATTACAGTAGTATATTTTATTTTATTTTTTAAAAAAAAGAGTTTTGAATAATTCTCTGATTTCACTTCTGTATGAATCGAACTTGGGCTTTGGACTATTATTTTGATAATTTTGTCTTGTTACTAAAAACAGAACCGCAAAGTGGCCCAGTTAGCTAGAGTTGTAACTGGGCTAGCTGTACCAAATAGCCAATTGGGCCCTTTTTCTCTTATATCTTAGGCCCGTAACCTTAGTGCTAGACTATACCCAAAAGTTGCTGATAATCAATAGCCCCTTTTAAGTTTAAAATAGGGATTTTTACCTATCTATACCGTATATCAAACCTTATTACCAAAAATGTTCATATTTTGTTATTTACCCGTGTAGTCCACACTTTTACTACAAATTATATACCAATCCAAAAATAGATAGATTTTGCCATAAAAACGCGCTAAAATGAAGGCACCACATCTGCGTGTGATTCTGTCAACATTAAATTTGAATTGTTGCGTAATTCTCTCCTTCCTCAACAGAAAGAGATCTCTCTTCTCTCACTCAACTACAATTCTCAAAAAACACAAGCTACTGAAACTCTAGCAATCAAACGGAAAGGAGATTTCTGTTCTTCATCTTCATTTGTTCTTCCATATATTTTTCACCATTGATAGCCATTAAAAAGCTTGAAAGCTTTGAATTCAAATTTGGGTTTTCAAAAATCATTATTTGTTTGGATTGGGTGTTGTTGTAAATAATTCGGAATATGTTTAGGAGTTTATATCTCAATTTTCAGGGGTTTTGGTGAAGATTAGACTTGGTGTTGACTGAATTTTAGATTGAAACTCGAAGAAAAAGAAGAAGAAGAAGAAGACGTATTTCCAGAAATTGTAGATAAATTGTAGTTAAATTGTAGAATTGTAGATATATTGTAGATAAATTGTAGATAAATTGTAGATGAATTGTAGATTGGGAAGACTAAAACTTCTACAAATCTTCTACAATTATGTCGAAAATGCCAATTATGCTACAATTGAAATGAGAATTTGGATATTAAAATTCAATGTATCTATTTTGTAGATATCTTGTAGATAAATTGTAGATTATTTGTATTCTGATTGTAGATGCATTATTTTCTGTTTTCACAAATTCAAAACGACTAAAGCTTCTACAAAATCTTTTGCAAAAAACAGTCTACAATTTATCTACAATTTTTCTAATTTGACTACAATTTGACTACAAAATATCTACAAATTCTGGAAATATGTCTTCTTCTTCTTCTTCTTCTTCTTATTATTATTATTATTATCCTCCTCCTCCTCCTCCTCCTTCTTCTTCTTCTAACCTTCAACCACTGCCCAAAAAAAAAAAAAGAGGTCAAAGAATTTCGAACTCTCTGCCATTATTATTTCCAGTGGGAATTCAAGTGGTTCGATCAAAGAATTTAAAATTTTCTTGTGAATCTGAAAATATGATATTCTTCGACGGTGGTGGGCAGTTGGGGATGATCAACGAGAGGAAGCATAGGAGCATCGTGAGTTTTGTGTGTGTTGTGAACAGTTGAGATGAAAGGAAAGAGAAAGTGGGAAGATACAGTCCTATAATTATGCCTAATATAAATGAACCCTTAATTATATCCCTAATTTGAATTATGGTATAGAAATGGTAATTTGGTATGCTTAAATGTAATAAACACAAACCTTAAACATTGAGGGTAATAAGGTTTGATATATGGTATAGATAGGTAAAAATCCCTTTAAAATAAGAACATCCTTAGAATGCCTTTAATTAAGTATATTTCTTTTAAAATCAATTGGGGTGTGCCATTCCAAACAAAGCCCCTAAGCCCACGGCCCTCATAAAATTAGTTAACTCTTAGAGAAAATTTGAGGTGTGCCATTTTCCTTTTAATAACTCATGACCCTCATGAAGTTAATTCAAACCTTTGTAAAAATTGAGGTGTGCCATCAACTAAACTCTTCATGGCCCTCATAAATATTGTTATTAACTTGAACCTTCGTAGTTGCTTTAGGCGCGTTCTTTAAATAATTCATCATAGCTACGGGTACGGTTCCCGTGACGTAGTTGTGATTTTTAATTACTAATTCCGGGTGCACATTTCATGTGACCCAATTTCAATTTCTCAACAATGTTAAATAGAACGTGTCGCGAACCGCAGGTGTATTTTATGTAGCGTGGTTTAAAACGTGTTTTAAATGACATTAAATCTTCCTAAAGCGGTTTAAATTAGTTAAAAGAGGTTATAAAACTAAAATGCACAATAGGTTAAAACATGTAATAAATCGGATAATAGGCCAATTTTAATAGTTTAAGCGACCGTGCTAGAACTACGGAACCCGGGAATGCCTAACATCTTCTTTCGGGTTAACAAAATTCCTTACTTAGAATTTCTGGTTCGCAGACTTTTAAATAAAGTCGAAATTTCATCGATTTGGGATTTTAAAATAAATCGATGACTTGGGACACCAAATAAACTATTCCAAGTGGCGATTCTGATAAAAAGAAATAAAATAATCCAATTTCGATTAATGTCACTTTAATTGAAAAAAACTCCCTTATATTACCCTCGGGTGGTAAAAAGGAGGTGTGACAACAATTTAAAAAGGTTAATTAAAAAATCATTTTGGTTTTTTCCGGCATAGTAGTATCATTTTTAAACGTAACCTTACTTCCACGTACTCTTTTCAAGTGGCAACGACAGGCTTCCATGAATTTTGTATCTTCTCCTATGCAGGGGCGTACACAGGACTTTTAGTAAGCGGTTTCGACGTACAAAAAGTGAACATGCAACACATCATTAATAACATTATACTTTAAAAGAAATAAAATTCATATTATATTAATAAAACTTAATTAAAGTATATTATTGTAACTAGATTTACACCTTTTAAAATTATAACAGCCTCATTCAAATATATTTAAATTTTGTTGATATAAGGAACAAAAAGGAGCAACGTCAAAGAGGTTCGGTTTGCACTCACCCTTAAATAGGTCCCAAGTTAGATTCTTTATGAGCATTATTTTTAAAACAACAAAAGACCAAAATATTAAGCAAAATTACTGGTTAATTTTAGAGTCGAACTCCCGACCTATGTCGGGGAAAAGAAACCCTCAGGCGGTGAGCTACAACGTTTTAATTGCAAGGTTGTGTCATTTTTTCTTCATATACATGCTTTTCACATTATATACTATATAGTACTCAGTAAATTTTTCCATCGTTTCGGATGACACTGCTTCTACCAAAGTAAATCCGCCCCTGCTCCTATAGCAAGCCAGTGTCAGGGATCCAACACCAGTAGAAATCGTCATTTTGCAAAGAGCCAGAGATCTAAGTTCTCTATGATCTATTTTGCCTGAACTCAGAATTTGTTAACCTATCGTGTTATAAAACGAATAAAATATGAAAGGATAAAAATTGAAAAAATTGAACACATATATATACTATTTTTTTTGTCTCTTTCACACAAAGACACAAAATGATGGTTATTGATCTTTGTGTTACTGTTAGTGTAACGATCCGACTGGTCGTTTTGCTTTTTAGAACCCCGTCCCCCTAAATAAAACTTCCCTCACTTTCTTTAACTAATTTACGACCCACGGGGATGGTTGGTTCGGGAATTAGAAGAAATTGGGTTGAAACATGCTCATTTGAATCTAGGGTTGTGCATAACTTGGTATATACCGAATTACCATACCGAAACCGAAAATTTTGGTATTTGGTATATGAGATTTTGGCATTTGGTATGGTATTTGGTTTAAGTTTTAAAAAAAATTGGTATTAAGTATGGTATTTGGTATTTTAAAATAAAATACGAAATACCGATACCGTACCGAAATATATATTATATTACATAAAACACATATTATCAATTATAATATAAATATTAAAAATCTAAAATTTTACTTTTCTTTATTTTCTAAATTCATCAATTAACTATAAACAAGTAACAAGACATTTCTAATGATCAAATATTCTTTTATGTATAATTTTCTCTATTTGGGTCGATATTTGCTAGTTTAGGACAAACATTTTGTCAACAAACATTTCCTGTTTTGTATTTTTGAGTACTTTAATTAAGAATATTAGAGTCTATCGCTCTATGCACTAGTTAATATTCAAACCGAATAAATCGAAGTTACCGAACCGAATAAACCGAAACCGAAAAAAGAAAAATCGAACCATACCGAATTTAATTAGGTACGGTATTGGTATAAGATTTTAAGAAACTGAATATCGAAAATACTAAATCGAAATGTCTAAATACCATATCATACCGACCGACGAACACCCCTATTTGAATCCTTAAGATTTTCTTAAAAGGCTAAGTTTGACTTTGGTCAATATTTTTAGGAAACGGACTCGGATTCATATTTTGACGGTCCCGGAGAGTCCGTAGAGAAATATGAGACCTGGGCATATGCTCGAAATCGAATTCCGAGGTCCCTAGGCCGAGTAATGAAGTTTTATTAGAAATTGTTAAACTGAAATTCTAAGGATTTAAAGAAACTAAATAATGATTGATCACATGGGTATCGGGCTCGTATGTTGGTTTCGGAGCCCGGTACAGGTCCAATATAACATTTAAGACTTGCCCACAAAATTTGGTGTCAATCCGAGTAGTTTAAGTGCGTTTCGGCTCGTTAGAGGAGAATTAAGAACTTAAAGTTCATAAGTTTGATTCAATTAGTTTTAGGGGGTGATTCTTAGATTTAGCGTTATTTCGGGCGTTCCG